ATCAATTGTATCTGAACTCTTAACTTCAGCTCCTAGTGACTTGATTTTAGATTCTCATGAAGAGTCTGGCCCAGGTCCTATTTCAGAGAATGATCCTGCAACTTGCCTTAATCTACGGTTTAGCATCAGATGAATTTTTAGAAAAATTCAATTCATACTCAGATGTTAATTGTAGAAGACAGCATTGAGTGGTTTTATTCCTAGAGATTTTCAGAACGCATTCAGAAGCTGATGCAATAGGTTTCACTGCTTGCTCTACTTAAAAGTTTGCATTGTTTTACTCATGATCGCTAGCCTAACTTCCACTGGCAATATGAGACGCATAAATATTTTAATTGTGATCTCTGCTTACTTGTAGTTTCTTCATCTTCTAAGTCTTGCAGTATAAGCTTTTCAGCATCTTGATTTCTGCTCTTTATAAAGTTTAAATAGGAGACAACTGATTCTGGCAAGTCATCTGAAATCTAGAAAACCATAACATTTGACATAAATTCTATATTTTCATCTCACAGCCATGACTGGAGGTAAATACTTGACATGCAAGAATAAGGACTCATTTTGGCTTCACCTATAAAGCACTGATTGCTATCAAAATTGTTCTCAATTCCGATACTCTTCCCATTGTCTTATCACCCAGTGAACAGTTAGTAACTCCCACTTTTAATTACACTCTAATTAAACTTTAAGTGGAACACATTTTAGTAAGTTATCTTCCGTTGTCTTCAGAAACATGTTTCAATTAACATTTTCTTTATAATTATATTGGGCCAAGAAATTAAGCAAAAGGTTAAGACAAAAATTAATTAATACCTATGATGAACAAGATCTTTTTTTAAAAAACAGATCTTTTAGATCTTTAAAAAATACATTAATTTTAGCTTTACTAATGTTTAATGTATGCATGTAAATCAGATACTTCAACTTTCTTTACTACATAGATAGTCTATTCCAAAGACTGTCTCTCACTGCAAGGATTTGGGAGAACGGACTGCCTTCTCTCAGATGTGTAAACTGCGGTAAACATTGCTGGCATTCAGCATGTGAGTGCACAAATAATTATCACTGATGCCTTTGCCTATCTTTATGTCATATCAAATATGTGATTTATGGTCACATATGCCCAATATCTTCTACCTTAATATTCTATAGACCAATCCTTTTACTACGAGTCTGATAGATTACAATACCTGAAAAGGACACAAATAACTGATTGGATTTCAGAAGAAAATCTTCCCCCAAAATAAGAAGTCATACAAAAAAAGAGGGCTTGAAGCACCAGGATATATGAAATTAGTATCAGGAAATCTTCAAACACACGACAGTCTCTTGTAAGATTTAAATACAGATTTAAATGAAGAATCATTAGTTTATTCATCCAGATTTAATCTACTGCATTAGCTTTAATAAAGTCTTCCAGCTTCAGAGGATTCTAGAACAAATCGTTATGTACGAGTCTGATTTTCTCACTTAAGCAGAATGCTGATATTCATCTCTTTCATTGTCGTGTCACCATTGGAGGTTATGTTTTTCATGAAGCAATACTACTGAGACTACCTTCCAGAAGAAATTCTCAGGTTAGCTATGTTAGGAAAAAGTTCATTCATCAGACAGGCTTTGCAATGCCCACACTACTCTCAAGCAGAAATAGAAGCCGTTTTAGCCCATTGAACACTTACTGTTTCACTATCATCCGAAGCTTCGTCTGATACCTCTGTGTCAGGATCATCTGCTTCCAAGGAAGAAACACTGATTCGGCTTAGTTCAATTTCTATTTCTTTCTCAATTCCTTCAATATCTTCTGACATTCTACTTTCCACAGTGACTTACCTGTTTACAAAGGCATACAAAGAAAATATTAACATTCAGCACTACATGAATCAAAATAAAGAGGGTGTTTATGTAGTGTAAGTTTATCCAGGTATATTTATTGAACAGCTGGCTTAAAACATGAAAAGCAATAGCAAAGTTTGTTCTGAACACCACATTCCACACCAACAAGCAAAACCCAAGAAAAACGTTAGTTTGTGATAAGAGAATGCCGTTTACCCATCCAAATTTTGCACGTGTTACCAAATTTGAATATTAAAAACCTCTGCCTGCTCTCTACTCCTTGTGGACAGTATCAGTGCTACAACCTAAGCCTCACAAGGGTTTTTTTCCAGCCCTAATACCTGCAAGGAAAAAAAAAACCACCTCCAAACAATAAATACATATTAACAATTACAAAATAAGATTAAGAATGCAGAAACCACTCGATGAAGTTATAATGATACAGAGAAGGCAGTGGGGAATAGCCTAACCCACAGAAGTACGAGACTTGTAGATGGATCCAGGCAGAAGTGGAAGGGGTCCCTTGTCCCCTCCCCCCGCCCTCCGCAACCCGCACCCCTCTCCTCACGCCTAGCCCCAATTAGGGGGCAGAGGAGCCAGTCCAGGCCAGCTCCGTCGGAGGCAGCGAGCAGCCCCTCGTCCCTCGCCGGCTCCTGGAGCAGGGGAAGCGACACGCTGAGCGCGTCTCAGCCGTGAAAGCGCGAAGCAGTTCTGCGCTGAGAGGAACTACACCTCCCAGAGGCCATCGCGGTGGGGAGGCCACCCGCCCACTGCCGTTTCCCAGCAGCACTGCGGAGCCGCCGCTTTTGCATCAGC